CCTAGATAGCCTGAAATATCCATTATCTATTACAAGACTGCTCCTATATCATGACAGTATCCAATACTGCGACCATGGTGCAACGGCCTTCCACCCAGACCCCGACGAGGCGGAGATGCAGACGAGAAGGCGCCAAGTGGACACGGTCTGGCTGCTTGACATGCAAGCGTCGTCGGAAGCGGTGTGATGAAGCGAAGCCCTGGTATGATGGAGTCCGCCCCTGGTACTAGGGTATACTAGGCACTAACTACTCGATTACAATAGCTGTCATAGCTGCGCCAGGTTGGGCTTGAAATGTGAGGGCTATGGCTCAATGTGGGCAGAACCTCTAGATCCATCAGCAAATGTCTTCAGCCAATTCAGAGCACCGAAACGGCGCAGAGTTAGTACAACATCAGCTTCAACAACTTGTTCGCGTGTCCCGGAAGAAGAGCTCTGGTTGTCCCCGAGCTCCCCAGTCTCGAGCAATCTATCAACAGCGCCAACAACTCCGGCTGAATCCGACAACAACAGTCTATACTCTTGGAACAATGAAGACAATGAATATGGTGACAAACAGGTTACCATACCTGACATTGACTCCTGCTATACATTCACCGTGGCTTCACCCATGCCAAGTAGATACTTCAGTCATCTTTCGCATCACGATACGCACTATCTCCAGTATCACACCGAGCTGGGCTCCAAGCTACTAGCCAACCTTGAGAGTATCGACAACCCTCTTCGATCATTTCTCATACCGCGAGCCCTATCATCGCCTCTTCTGATGAAAGCCTTGTGTGCGGTATCGGCAACACATTTTGCAAATCGGTCCCGAGACAAAGAAGAGGCCCAAACAGCGGCGACGGACTACTACGTTCAAACGTTGAGTGGACTGCAGTCGACAATTGCCAAATATTCAGCGCGGACCCTTCCTGATGAGGCCATCCTGGCGGTAGCCATGCTTTGCAAGTACGAAATCGTTCGTGGAAGCGTTCAGCAGTGGACCGCTCATCTGAACGCCCTGCAAGAGCTCATAGTGGCCCGCGGTGGAGTTAATGCCCTGAAAGATGACATGAGGGAATTTCTAAGCGGCTTGTAAGACTTGTTCTACAAATTACCTCTTTTGAAACCAAAGCTAACCACACCATAGCTACATCTATGCCTATAACATGGCCAGAATCAGCAACCGCAAACACATCAACTACGACCTTGATATAGGCAACGTCAAAATCTCCAAGCTCGACATCTACATCGGCTACGCAGAAGACCTCATCAAGATCTGTGCCCGAATAGCCGACCTCCCCACCCTATCTCTAGACCCTGTAGCCTTGGATCTCGAAGTCCACTTAATGTAAGTAACCCTCAACAACATCCACAGCTCCCGCTAACCATCAACCACACAGCGACACATCCCTCCGAGACTGGGCACCCACCAATACCGAATATATCCTCCCACGGGGCATAACCGAATCGAACCTTATCCGTCTGCGCATGGTCGCCAACTGCTTCCGCGATGCTGCGTACATCTATCTCCATTCCACTCTGGAAAGACTGAACCAGAGAACGGCAGCACCATTATCACCACAATTTGCTGCCCCATTACAATTAACACTACATACGCCATTCAAACCAGTACCATCACCATCAATCTCCCTCCCCCGATCAACCGCATTACATCAGCTCTTGTCCAGAATCAGGGAATTCCCACTCGACGAACACTGCGAATTCTCTGCGCTTACATTCCCACTCTTCATCGCTGGCTGCGAGAGCAAACATCCCTCAGACCAGGAGCTCATTATACATTCATTGGATAAATTAGAGGCGAACTTCGGCATCGGCAATGTGAGAAGAGCAAAAGAGATGTTGAGTATCCTCTGGGCGGGAGAAGGGGATGTACATTGGCTGGATATGTTGGAGCGGCTACAATGGGACTTGATTCTTGCTTAGATACTATAGATACTGTATATAGACAATAAGTGAACACCAAGCATATATGATAAGCACTGAAATACACTTCTGATACCACAGCTTGACAAGTCTTCGACTTACGGCACCGCTCCGAGCAGATCTTCTCTTGGGTAAACAAGGGTATCTCCATTTCATCAAGGCGTTAAACCGCACAGAGTAAAAATATAGGCTAAGAAGAGAAGTACCCAAAACACCCGTCCACCAGACGCAAACAAAAGCCCGAAATAAGACACTAATTAATAAGAAGTCCGCTTTGCAAGGAAAAGAAAATGCCATTCTCTTGAGACGCCGCCAGTTGCAGTGTTGCTTCACCTCTCCTCCATGACTGACTTAAGATCAGCTCAATCCCATATTGACCTCATCACCTAATCCCATCTCTCGCTCGGCTCGTTCAGTACCCCCTGTGGCGCGAGTGCCCCAGCGGTCTAGACGGTCCTGAGCAAGAGACATCTCTTTCTCCCTGATACTTCCGTCGCGGCCGAAGCTGCTGCTGTGACTGGCGCTGCCTCCCGAGTAATTGGACGTCTTCCGGGCGTGCGGAATACTGATGGGTCGGGTTGCAGTTGCGGTGGACTTCCCGGTTGGCATGTAGCTTCCGGTAGGGGTGGCGGACTTCAATTTTCCGAGATCTACGGAGGAGTTATTGGTGGACGTTGGTGGAGCAGAGGAGATGCTGCTGGCTTTGTCGCTTACACTCTTCGTACTCCCAAACCAACGTCGTTTGCGGGACTTGGATGAGGTTGACGGGGCGAGACTTTCTGCGTCGGCGTCGACCGTAGATGAGATCTCCTTCTCATGGGCGTTGGCGGCCTTTTCCTGCTCCAGTGACTGGGCGATGCCGGATTTGGTTCCCACTGAGGTGCTCTCGCCCGCTGATGGGATCTCAACCAGTTCGGCGTCACGACACCACTTCCGACGGCGGGTGTATCGATCCCAACCATCTTGGCCACGGCGACCGTCGTTCCACTGTTCCCATGCTGTTAGTAACCCTGGAACCTGGACATTTGTCAGAACATGGGAAACAATGTGTCCCACCTTGTTGTCATAGTAGACCCAGCCCCCGCCATCAGCTTTGGCGTCTGACTTTCCTGACTCGTCGGCGCCTTCAATACGCCAGTCACTCCCTTCGACCCAGCGCCACTGAGCATTTCCGTTTGCGACACCGGGCAGCTCAAAGTCCTCCTTAGATGGGACGTGATTCAAATGCTCGTCTGTCCAAGCAGCTCGCTCGGAAGGGAACAGAGAGTACGTCCAGCCGATTCCAAGCCAACGACGTTGGTTCTCATAGATGACAAAGGTGAATCTCACACCGGAGGAGTCTCCTCGACGTCTTGTCGCAATGCTCATCGCATGGCCCTGGCTCTGCATTAACAGCGAATGCGCCTTATCAACTGTGGAAGAAAAGGATAGGCCAGTGATTATGGAGCATATCCGGCGGATCGTTAACGATCGCCAAAGAATGACACGGGACACTCTTGCCGGGCGAGAATGATAGGTAAGAATGATAGTGCCGAGGGTCATGATAACCCGGCGAGTGGTAATAAGATACAACGGGGGAAGAGTCAAGGCGATCCATATTGGTGTGACGAAGAGGATTCGAATGAACAAGGTTGTAAGAGCCGGTCGGGTGGTGGCAGAAGTCGCTGTCCTCTGCGTGGACAGGAAGTCGGTAAATTCCACGAGTGGCTCTAGGAGAATATTGCAGCGTGTGGTAAATGTCCTTAGCGTCTCCACGATTTCGTCCAGCGTTTCATGCCGATGGGGGAATGTCTCCGAAGCAGCCCTTTGATGACCTTGCTTCTCACTCAAGTGAGCCCTGGACGACAACGGGGAGTAGCGTCGCCAGTACATGCCCAAAATAAGGCCGATGACCACGAGGAGTGGCCCGGTCCAGGTAATAATCACATCGCCATAGAGAACAAGCGACCAGAATACTGCTACCAGCAGGAAGCTCTGCCAACCGTCTCCAGTGGTCCATGTGAGCAATCCAACGAGCTTGTTCAACGGGAGAATAAACGGATGCGAGTAGGCCAATGCCCGGGTGATCTGAGGGGGCGTGGCCACCAGTAGCGGCGATTTTCGATGCACGATGATGCTGGAACGCTGCCTCGATGTGACGGACGAGCCTGAGATGGTGGTGGGGGAGAAAGCAGCGACCGTCGGAGGCTGAGAGTCAGCATGGTCCTGCGTGGATGATGATGGGGCCATGGAATCTATCCACGGAATATCTTCTGTCGCGACATTAGTATTCAGGGCGGTAGTGGATGAGAGCGGCTCGTCCACGTGGACCAGATATTCGAAGAGAATAGGAGGTGGGAAGTCGTCAGAGTCAGAAAGTGGATTTGTTTGTATCACCTACCGAGAGCTGCCATCCAACAACAGAGACGTCATATGCATCCAAGGTCATTGCGGGCGGTGAGACGCGGAGAAGAGAGAGGGAAGAGGAAAAGGGCGAGAGACACACAATAAATGCTGATCAGACCCAACGAAAGATGGGGGACCAAAAGTTAGAGACAAGGTCCCTGGAGGCCGATCATCTGCGGGGATGGAAGGGGGGAATAGCCTGAGATCCGCGGGTGCAGCTGAGAATTGAAGCTTTTCGTCTGCTGCTCGGAACATGTGACAGCCTGCCTCGCCCGGATATTACCATACCATACACAGATTACACAATTTACAACAATGTGGGCACCAGTGACAGGCCGGTATGGATACCGTCAGTGACCGTTACATACGTATAGATGCGATGCATCAGTCAAGGAAGATGAGGTGGGAGACACACAGTGAGACCCTGCAATAACAAATCATAGTTCTATTGAATTTGACAAATCAGCAGATACACAGCAGCTGAAGTATCAGGTAGGGGGTGAGTGCTTTCTTTTTGACGGTCAAATAGTATCGAGTCCAATAGTTGGTTGGTCTACTTTACATCCAATCCAGGAACCAATCAATCCGGGGACGCCTCAGGCCGCGGCGGTACGGCAAAACGGACTAAAGCGCTGCCGAATTTTTCCCTCTCCGTCTGTTTCCATCGCCATCGAATCCGCTTTCCGCTCCCCTTCTTGATCCAGCCAGGGACTCCCTCCACTACTCCCCGGTCGCATCATTTCTTTTGTTCGCCGTCGCTCCTGGAGCTTTGATTAATTCTTGAAGTCCGTTCATCGGCTATAATCTCCAGTCATCATGGTATGTGGATACACCCTCACTCCTCTGAAGCCAATATGATGCCTTCTCTATCCCGATCGGCCGCCATGCTCAGGTATACTAACCTTGCTCTCTTCTCACCCAACAGGCTCATCGTATCGTCACTCAAGTCGTCGTCACGGGCGCCCGTGTCTTCGGCAAGGCTTTCGCCGAGGCCTACAAGCAAGCCCAAGCCTCCTCCAAGTACGCCGCGCAGACGGGCAAGAAGGTCGGCGCCAGCATGTCTTCCGGATTGACTCTCGACGAGGCCTGCAAGATTCTCAACGTCAAGCCCCCGCAAAACGGCGAGGCCAACCTGGAGCAAGTGATGGAACGATTCAAGAAGCTGTTCGACCTCAACGATCCCCAGAAGGGTGGTAGTTTCTACCTGCAAAGCAAGATTCTTCGGGCCCGGGAGAGGTTAGAGATGGAAGTCCGACAGGCCGAGCGCAAGATGGCCGAGGAGAAGGAGCTGCGCGACGGCTGGAAGCCCAAGGTATATAAGGACCGGTGAATGCGTTTCTTTTTACCTATAGCACCCGGCTCAACTTCTTCAGGAATGATTGATTGCTCTCGGGCTGCCATCTGGGAGTTCTTACGTTTCGATCGATTTAAGCTTGGCTCTCATCAACAGGGTCGAAGCATTTGCACCGACCATCGGAAGCCCCTCTTAACGATCTCCTCGACCTCCTGTTTTTCTCCCTCTCGGTTTTCGCGGCATAGCATGGCGTTTTGGTGATTCCAACTTGCAGCTTGGAAAGAGTTTAGAATTCCTATATTTATATGGTGACTTGCATCTCGTCGAGACAGATGGACTCGGACTTGAATGAAAGGCATATGGCATATCAGATTCCAGGCTGAGTCGACAGTCTGGGTTGGTTGCGCCTTGTTCGCCGGGCCATTCTACGTCCTGACTGAGAAAATATGTGTATATTATTCGAAAGACGAAGGGCCTACGAGCCTAGCAGGGCACAAGGATGATCCTATCTTTGTGTTCTCTTTCTTTTTTTCTGTTCTTAATGATCCCTTCTCCCCTCTTGTGTCCTGTTCAGAGGATTGATACCTGTACTTTAGTACCTTCCACGATTGCGTGGGAGGTCATGATTCCACTGAGAGTTGTGTACAAATGCTAGCATCGTTCACAATCAATCATGAGAAATAATCTTCCATCATCTTAAGAACATCAAGCAATGCTCATCGGTGGCCATCATGGCGCCATCGCGGAGCGGAAACGCCCCAGCGGGGAATATTGCCCGGGTGAGATTCCCTTATCTCCGCCGCAGATTTTCTTTCCCCTCCTTTTGCTCTTTTATTATTTCCCCTCGCCATCCTCTCTTTCCCTCTTCCTTTCTCTTCCTTTCCTCACCCTCTTTTTCTCATTCCTTCTTGTAAATACTTTCTCTCCTACTTTCGACCCCATCTACACAGCAAAAACATAAATAAAGACCAACAATGCCCCGTCCCTCCACCCCCCTCTCAGCGGCCCTCCCGCCACTGATAATGGGCACCGCAACCTTCAACAACCAATACAACCACGACCCCTTCGCCCTCCCCACCACTGAACTGGTCCAGCGCGCCTTCACCTCCGGCATCCGCGCCTTCGACACATCCCCCTACTACGGTCCCGCCGAAGAACTCCTCGGCCGCGCCCTCGCCACCGACTACGTCCGCACCCATCACCCCCGCTCATCCTACCACATCCTCACCAAAGTCGGCCGCATCGCCTCCTCCTCCTTCGATTACTCCCCTACCTGGGTGCGCCAAAGCGTCCGTCGCAGTCTCCAGCGCCTACACACCGACTACCTAGACGTCGTCTACTGCCACGACGTCGAGTTCGTCTCCCGCCAGGAAGCCCTAGCAGCTATTCGGGAACTGCGTCGCATTCGCGATACCGAGGGCACCATCAAATATGTCGGCATCTCGGGGTTCCCCATTGACGTGTTGGCTGAAATAGCGGAGCTGGTTCTCCGCGAGACCGGCGAGCCGTTGGATATTGTGCAGTCATATGCGAATTACACGCTGCAGAATACGAGACTCTTGTCGCGCGGACTGCCGAGGTTTGTGGGCGCGGGTGTGGACGTTGTTACGAATGCGTCGCCGCTGGGGATGGGTCTGTTGCGGAGACAGGGCGTGCCGATTGGCAGTATGGGTGATTTCCACCCCGCACCAGATGGATTGCGCAACAAGATCCGGGAGGTTTCGGATTGGGTCGATGGCCAGGGCGAGAGGTTGGAGGTTGTGGCTATCCGGTTTTCGTTGGAGAGCTGGTTGCGCGAAGGAAAGCAGGTTGGAGCGCTGGGTGCCCCGCTGGCTAAGGCCGGAGATGCTGATCCGGGATTCATTTCCGTGGCTAGTATGGGCACTGGGGAGAGACTGGGAGTTAGTGTGATGGGAGTGAGCAACTTCGGAGAGCTGGATGAGACATTGCGTGTCTGGCATAGCATCGTGGATGGATTGGAGAACAAGGACGATGACGAGGACGTTGAACCGAAGTCCTCAGAACTGCAACCCCCGTCCGCTGTGCCTTCTGCCGCACAGGCGCCTGCTATCCTAACCCCTTCGGAGGGGATCATTACCGACCGTGCTTGGTCGAAAGACAGACGTGGTCGCATTTCGTCTCTGGCTCAGCATATCCGGACGATTCTGGGCCCAGAGTGGGCAGATTATGCCTGGGACAGCCCGTCTCCGGATTTCGTCAATTCGTTGTCTGCTGAGCATCTAGCTGCAAGAGACAAGGATGCTGCTGCTGCTGGCGCTAATGATGAGTCCATGGTGACGCCGCCTTTGGAGGCAGTTGATGCGGATGAGAAGATACCCACTGCTGCAGCGCCTGATGTTGCGCTGTGATGAAGATAGTTTATCCCTTATACCTTATACATTCCAGGCCTGATTGATGATGACTTATGCATATGCATTTTCAAGACATGACTTCTTCAGTTGTTTGCTTTAATACTTCCATCTATTTGCTCACTGCATAATTATGCCCGTCATTGAATATCGAGACCGCATATGACTCGCAATATTATCTGTACAAAATTATTATTCACGATCCTGACACGCCTCCAGCACACATGCATAGAATAGACTACCTACCTACCTATCCAGCAATCAAACTCCAAATCCATAAACCATCCACCTCCCAAACCTCGCTCTTCCTCTCCAAGCGACCGCATATAGCGCCCCCTTGATGAGAAGGATACGGGGAAAAAGGGAGTGAAGTAAAGTAAAGGTATTTGTGCAAATCCACAAGAAGAACCGCGAGGGTCTCCGTGTGAACGTACGATACCAATTCGATTTTTCATGCTTCTAAATTTCAATCAATAGTTGCAAGTTTTGCTGCTGCTGCTGCTGCTGCTGCTGGCGTGGCCAGGTAGGTCATTGACGGGAAATCTGTCTCTGTTTGACTGACTGATCGATGGCAGGCCGGTTGTTTGTGGACTCACATCTGGCCTGAGATCATCACACAGATCTTTTTAACCTATAAAGAGGTGTGTGTGTTAGCGAAAGACGTGGCGTGGCTGTTGGCCAGTGGGGTTATGATATGATAGGTAATGTGAATACCAACCAGATTTGACAAATTAATTGAGTATCCAAGCACAGCTTCTATTGAGCTTGTTAGTTAGACGTCTTCAGAATAGTCCATATCGCGCTCATAGCCCACAGCACAGTGTCATCCACATTTAGCATTGCTCCGATATCCCCGAATGAACAGCAAAAGAAAACCACCCCAGTGTAAACCATGCTCCCAGATATCTTTTTTGTAGCCAAGGAAAAAAGAAGGGTATCAGACGCTCAAAGGCGGACAAGAAATCAGAAAGTGAGAGAAAGAGAAACTATCCCAGGGTATAATACAGAAAATGTGTGCCCACTGGTAACCCAAGACGAAAGAAAACTGTACAAGTCTTAAGTCGACTTCTTTGAAGGAAGCCCCTAGTTCTGGCTGGGAGATATTACATCCCCTTCTCTCGCATCAAAAGGTCTCTGTCCATATCTGATTGCGACTTGTAGCCGCCCAGACTGATGGCCTGCTCATTGCTGATCGAGTAGGGAATGGACGGTATGTCAGGACGCAAGCGCTTGAGACGAGCCGAACGTTCCCGCGCAGCTTGTTGCTTCTTTTGCAGCTTGGTCATTTTATCCTTCTGCGATTTTGGCGCAGCAGGAGGGGGGTTGGGAGGGAGAGGTGGAGCAGCATCAGCCGGAGGAGAGTCAGGAGGAGGGGGCGGAGGAGTGGAATCCCGACGGTACCGCGCAAATCGTTCGTCGGTGTCGAAGACCTGCCTGAGCTGCCACCGCTGCTCAGTGTACTCCTCATAGTTGGCGGCAATAATGGCTTCAAGGATGCTGGCCTGCGTCTGACCCGCTGTGGCTGTGGAGATCATGCGCTCCTTGAGGCGTTGATAGGCTTCTGAAAACGCTCTGAAAATCAATGCAATTTCCCGTGTTCCGCCAGAGACATCGTTGTCGGCATTGTTAGGATCCTCAATTGACAGGCGGGGACTGTTATTGAAAGAAAGCTTATAGACCCTCTGCACAGGAATTCATTAGTCGGTGTACACACAAACCATCATTGGGAGAGCTTACCTTATTGAAGTAGCCCGGTGGATTAAAGCGAATTCCAACGGAATCATAGTCAAAACCGTTACCGTAAAACTCGAAGAAATCCATCAGAACGCTGCCCAGGTTCGGCGTCCCATGTCCATGCGGTAGGTGCTGCAAGAGACTGGTGACAAGACAAGTGATGGAAAACCCTCCCAAGCCTCCAGTTGGGACTTCATTGAGGCCGCGAAGGAGCAAGAATTGCTTGATGACGGACACGATAACAGGCATCGCGGGATACTCAGCCTTCCACTGCTGGAACGTCTCGTTGGCCACTAACCCGCTGTCGTTGTCGAACGACAAGTCCACCCTCAGGCCAGTCAACTTGTCCACGAACTTCAGAATGGGTACTCGGGCATGTGCGATCGTCTCGATCGAGTTGGGCACCGCAATGTTCAGATTCTTCAGGAATGCAGAGAATGCATAGATTTGGCCTTTCCGTTCACCAAAGGTCTTAATACCGTTGCGCATGAAGTTCGTGGAGAGTAGTACAAGGTCGATATCGGCAGTGGGCAGGTATAGACCAGACGCAAAAGAGCCAAAAGGCCGAAGCTGCACCCCATAGTACCTGCTCTGGAACGCAGTCTGTAGCCTCGCCACCAAGTCCTCTCGCACGATTTGTTCATAGCGCACCGGTTTGACCCAGTGATAAAAGCTTAGAATCTCGTTGTGCAGCCTGCTTTTAGTCAGAATGATTGCTCCTTCCTTCACCATAGATTAACACGCACCTTGCGCCCACATGTAGACTGGGAGCCATGCTACTCGCCCACGGTGTTGCATTTTCCGATGAGCGGGCTCTCCACTCGTCAATGATCGAGCCATCATCATAGTATTTGCTCAACGGCTTCCCAGTCTTCTTAGAGACACCCTTGATCTCATCATCGTATGTCCTCTTTCTGTTTCCAAACGCCGAGTCCTTGCCCTCCAGCTGGCGCCTTGGTCCGGTTGGTGCACCTTCGGGCGCGTTTCCGCCGCCTTCATCTTCATCAACCAAGCCACTCAGCGAGATAAAATCTTCGTTGGTCTTCACCGCATCTTCCTGTGTGGATTGTGCCGCCGCGGTTGCAGCAATCCGGGCCTTGCGAATCAACTTGACAACGTCCACTCGCTTACCCTGAGTCTCATCCGGAGGAGGCAAGACCGTATAGGGATCTGGGTTGGACCATTTGGGAGCGGGTGGTGGTGCTGGAGCAGCCGTCGCGGTGCCGGTATTGTTGGGATCGACCGCACGCTTTTTGCGCGGGTGGGCTGCTTCATCCTCATCCTCTGAAGAGACGTCCATATCGGCTTCCTCGCTATCGCTAAGGTTCGCCACAGGCGCGAACTTCAGAGCCGGTTTCGAGTCCGCAGCGCCGGAGGGCAGTAGCTGTTCTGGGGTCGTCTCTCGCTTAGATCTCAAAAGCGGCCGTTCGGAGGTTCCAGGGCGCGCATAACGGAAAGTGAACTCATGTCGGGGTTGGTGTCCTGACCGTCGGTCATTTCCGCGGAACTCGAAAGCCGGCGGCATGACGGGAGATGGGAAGGAACGAGAATCAAAAAGTTAATGTCAAAAATTGGGAGAATGACGTGCAGCGACAACACAGGCTGAGATGCAATCAACCCACAACGACGCGCCTGGCGGATCTTTTTTTCAACGGCGGCGGCGGAATGAACGTCTTGGGCTGCGTTGGGAAGGCGGTGAGGATAGCCCTCCATCCCACTTTTTGCTTATCGCCGCCGGCCCATTAACTATAGTTACTACAAGTGATTTATCTAGATAAACCTGCTGTTTACGTACGGAATGACAAGCATAATTTAAACGGCTCTGCATTCAAGCTCTGTCCCCAAATTCCTTCAGTCCATTCTGCAGGTGTTTGATCAAGGCCTTATCTGCTGCCATCTCCGCAAAACTTACTCTCTGTGTGGCCCATTTCAACCACCCACTGGCCCTAGAACCCTCTTCTGCTCGAAGTAGGCCAACACTCACATCTATCAACAATGGTCTTTCGTCGTCATGCCAGAAGATGGATGCGCCGCAGCGGCCGCAGAACTCGCGGTAGACACCTGGGGAACTCTTGTACTGTCGCATCGTGCCGGCGCCAAATGCCAGCGGCACCTTATCCTTATTGTAAATATTCGATAGAGGAATAAACGCCCATGGCTGAATAGGGAAACCGCTGGCTAGGCGACACGATGGACAGGCGCAGGTGCCCGCCAGATACTTAGTATTGTCATCCTGCAGCCACCACTTCACGTCCTGGGGATTGCTTGAGGACTGTGAATGATACGGCGCAAGCAGATCAGACCACGGGGAAGTCGGCTTGGTGGATGAAGAATCGGGCCGCGTGATATAGAATTCAACACCCCCGCAATGACAACGGGCAAGTAGCTCGTCCGGATACCGGGACGAGGGCTCGAGTCCGGCCTCGGACTGGCTTGCTTGGTTGCTGGCAACCGTGCGTAGCCAACATGCTGGAGCCGGTTCTTCTGGCTGTCCAGAGAGAAAGGGTGTCAGGCCACCATCACGCGTCTCGGCAGCCCGCCAATGCCGTATAGATTTGGTTGGGGGTAGTCTCCCCGCCAGCAGTCCGGCTGCAACAAAGAATTGCCCTGTGTGTTTCGAATGGGAAAAGACATGAGCGCCACAGGTCTTACAGAAATAGCGGCTTATGCAATCAGCTTCCTGGTACTCCTGGAGGCTGTCAAGGCTCTCTGGCTTCGCCTGCAGGAGGTAGTATGTCGAGCACAGCATTCCGGTGACCGTGCGACAGGCGGTGCAATGACAGAAATTGAGTGCCGAATGGTCGGTGGATTGCTTCAGCTCGATTTCCTGTGCCACACCTCCGCACAGGCAAGAAATGGGTGTCACTTTGTCTTCCTGCATGTTTGAGGGCTGGCCAATAGCGATGGAAGTAAGTGGGTTTATTTCACAGTAGAGTAGTAGTACTGTTAATCCATCTCAGCTGCAGGCTCATTTACTATTTGGGTCAGGATCATGTTAGCTGGGAGAGAAAACAAGAGTAAAAGACAATGATGTAGTTAGTAATGCATGCATGCGTCTGCCCTGCTGCATCATCCTCTTGGGCAAGCATAGAAAAGAGCTTACGACCAACCTGCAGCAACAGGAAGATTGAATACTAGTAGTATCCAGTCAGGGAATTGAATGGCGGATGGTGACTGGAGACGAGGTGCAGAAATGTGCTCAAGTTGAGACCCGCTAAGACCCTCGCAACTTAACTATAAATACCCCGCTCTCTCTTTTCTTCCCGTCTTCCCAAATCACTGCCACTCTGACCACTTTTCTTT